TCTTGTACTGGCAAGACAATGTGCCAGAAAGGACACTTGGTTGCTGTCTGGATGGTAAAGAGAGTCTCCGTAGTAAGGGTCCTTGCAGGGTCACCTTACTTGGATTGAGTGAGACTCCCTAAAACATGTTTCTGTCTAAGTTTTGTAATCCAGCTGGCGTGTGGTCCTACGTGACCACTACAAGACATGCATAATGTATTGCTATAGATTACCTTAACCTATATACAAAACATTTCCTATCTTAAGCATGTACAAAAGATTGTCCTACATGATCATTTCTACACATGCAGGAATTGTTTCTATTGATTGTCTTACCCTTATACAATTGATTAACTTTGCTGCAGGAACTGTCTGTGAATATCTGGGACAACCAGAATCTTCACCCAGGATGTTAATCGACATGCTTAAGCATACAAATCGGTCTAGGCACAGCAGGGTCTGCCTGGGAAATCTCAAGAACTGTCTGAAATTCCCACTGGGATAGCTCTTGTAACAAGCTGTCAAATACTTCTTGTGCAGATGGCCAGCAGTCCAATCAATCACCTAGTTTCAACTTGGTCTGCTGTCTCAAACCAGCCCTTTATCTCACCTATGCAGATGACAAGCCTGGGAGTTCCTGGACCACTCTGGGAATTTAAGCACATTGAGAGTGCACACAAGCACAGCTCTGAGACTCAGCTACACTATGATTATAAATAAAGAATTAAACTTTATTTTTCTGCTTAGATCTCACAGCCCTTGCCCATCTATCTATCCAAATGATGTCAACGACTGACCTAGTGAACTGCCTTCACAGTTCAGATGGAAGTGGCTAAGAAATGACTCATCTCATAATTAAATAAAGGCCTAAAGTTATGTGATCTTTATGCCATGCATTGTTCCAGCTTGGTTTTGCTCTCTGGATCAGACCACTGTTTTTGACTGACTGTGCAGACTACAACATTTCTGATATGAAATCACCTAATGTAGCACTGGTAGTCAGATTTGTGGACTTCTGTATTCAGGAACAGCAAAAGCTGGAATATTGTCCACATATGCAGCAAAGTATGGAGCTTTTCACATTTCATTTTCAGGTCAAATGCTCATCTACTACAAAAACCCATTCACCATCCCTTTAAGTTCATAAATCAAGAAATGCAGCACATTTGTAGGCTAAACTATTTAAAGGAGATGGTTTTTCTGCTTTATCAGTGATGAAGAGACTATGTTTATCTGGGCCATCAAGATTTACTCACAGCAGAGCAGGCAACTGCTCATTCTCCCTTCTGCTTTCTTCAGCCCATGTCATGTTGTCATCAGTCTGTCAGGCAACATCTGGGAAAGCAAACCTACCTCATCTGTATTCCACCCATCACACATACAGTACTGCTTTATCAGCTGTTCCTTCTGCTCTGGGACAATGTGGATCACAATGGGTTTAATGCTTATACCTCCTTGTGAGTGAACTGACATGAGATTTCATGTTAAACAATGAAGTGCAGAAGCCAGTTCTCATGCTGCACATCTTCAATAGTTTGTTCTAGAGTTTCTTCATGTAAGACTGAACTGAAAAAATCACAATATCCTGCAGCCTGATATGTGCAAGTCACAGCTGTAATGTGTCTTTTAGATAAATGTTTCACAGGTACGTTTTTCTTTTTTAATGTTCAAAGAAGACAATTTTCAGTTTCCAGTTATTTTTTGGGATGCATTGCTGTAATAGATACATCTACTGCACTAGGATCCAAGCTGAATAACATGACTAAAGTGATCACCCTAAAGTGAATCTACATTGCCAAGTGCCAAGTAACCGTCTAGTTTGTAGCCACAGCCGTATGTGACCACATAAATTTGGAAGAGTTATTTAACTACACAAACCCACTACAGTGGGCCATACTGAGTACAACAAGAATGAAGTCTGTAGCTATGGAATAGCTCAATTACTGGCACCATTATCAGTTGCCCACACTTCAAGGATGCTTATTGCTGACTACTAACTGCATGTAGCAAGGTTAGTTAATGGGAGAGAGTTCACAATCTGAACAGCTTGTAAGTTGAGGGAGAGCTTTTAAGCACCAACCTATCTCCCTTGTGGTTACTGGCAAGGAGACAGGCCAAGTTATGTTGGGGGAGGTTAACAACCATCTTAGTAGAACTGGCTGCTAAAATCCTCAAGCTAATTGGTTTAAAGAAATATATCCAGCAAGCTCCTATCTCAGTTGTGTCTGACCCTTTTCCTGGAAATGTTATCTTGGCTCAGGTCCGAAGTCAAGTCTCTCTCCCTTCTACCCCATCCCTTATCATGTGCCTCAAACAAAGATACATCTTTCCCCGGCCATTCTTTTCTGTGCTCCATCCCTCTTCCAAGCAGGCTGCTGTTAGTTCAGCAGCACCTGCTTTTAGGGAGAGAATGAACACAGGCTCTTCCTGGTGCAATATGAATGTGAACAGCTGTGTCACCTTGCAAAAGGGAAAATAAGTCTTCTCTAAATTTTAAAAGGAACATCTGACATGCTTAATTCACAGCAGTAAAGTAGATATCTTGGTTTGCTGGCCCTAGAAATTATGATATAATCAGAGGTACCTTGTCTTCCCTTTCTTGCAGTGAAGCCTCCAGTTTTCCTCTATAACTTGAGAGAAAACAACAGCCACAGCTGAGACTAATTTTCTACACCTCCTTTCAGGACACTGGTTGCTCTAACTCCAAGCTAAACAGCATGCATTTTTAAGAACTGCAGGATATTTTAAGAAACATCGCCAAACATTTTAGTCTCCAAATTCTGCCTTTTTAAAAAACTAATACACTAGTGGAATCTGTAGCCCCAATTCTAAATAGCTACTTGAAAACAAAAAAGCATCCATACTATTTATGGAGGACCTAATATTAGGTGCTCCCTTCCACTGTTTGAGTGGAAACAGGAGTAGAAGCAGGATTTTTCCCAGGACTTAAGGGCTTAAGCTAACATGCCAGTTCCTGGTGCATTAGAAGGAAGAGGCTGGAAGCTCATACATATCCAATGAGAAAAAAACAAACATGAAATAAAATGGTTTTTGTAGCAACTAAAATGTGTTCCAAAACAACTGAACATTGGTGAACAAAAGCTAAGCAGAAAATTCTCATGCTATTGTTCAGTCTAAATCCTTTTAAATGTCAGGAAATTGTATTGATCACATGTTTAAAAAAGAACTATGGAGGGTCATTTAAAGTGAAACATAAAATATACTGTAACAGTGGATTCATAGATGACTTCAGAGAAAGATAGACTTCCTAGTAAACATTCTAGCGTCAGCTCTATGTTTTCTCAACACCAGCCAGCATAATATAGCTCCCAAGAGTACAGGTGAAATACATGAACCCAAACCAATCATTAAATCCTCTCTAGAGGCTATGTAGGAAACAAATGAGATGAGCTCCTACAGCTGTCTGTAAACAGCTCCTCTGTCTTCTTTGCTAAAACTTGCAGAATGATCTGGATATGAGCCAGCATCATACCTGACTTTTTAAAACTCCATTTGTATTTACAACTTTTTGCTCTCCTTTGGCAGTGTCTATCACATTCACCTATGCTGAGCACTACATATTGTGTTTTTTGGCTACTGAAATAAGGGAAATTGCTAGGTATGCATTATGAGCCCTGAACGAGAGTGGCAAACCTGGAAAGATGTATATATGCATCAGTACCTCCATCCAGTGTGAAAGCTGTCCTCAACCTAAATCCTCTGGGTTACATGCAAAACAGCCAAGTGTTGATTTAGGTCAACGATTGTATAAAAATTAAGGCTGCGTGAAGACAGAGGGACAAAACAAGAGTTTGCTCTTTAGCCTCCTATTTGCAAAGTGCTTTGCCTGTAAATCAGCAAGTTGGGGATAACTAAAGTAAGCTCTCTTGGTTATTATTTACTGAACTAGATTGGACGGTACCCAAATGACAAGAAGGAAAACACTGAGAGGTCTGTCTTCCCCAGCTGAGAGGCTAATTAAAAGCCCTACAATTTGCAGAAAAGCACATGTAACATAGACATGTACAAGATTTATAAGAACAAACCTCCCCCTTGCTATGAAGCTATAAAGAACAGAAGGGAGATCTCTGGCTAATTAGGTTAATATCAGCTTATGGCTTCATGTAGAAGAACCGCGAAAAAAATGAAACCAGTTAGAAACAAAGTATTTTTCTCAAGGATCATTTTTTCCCTTTTCCATCTCTTCTGAAACCTTTTTGTATTCAAGATTCTACAATATGGAGCTTACTCCTTAATTAGTACAGCAATTTGCTAAATCTTGTTTTTTCCTTGTTTCAGGGTGCTGCTCAGAACAGTCTGATAAGTCATACTTATTGCCACAAACTCCAAATGCTAAAATCTGAATACTTCGTTCTACCTCCACAGCTCAAAAACATGCAGCTCAAAATCAATGCTGTGCCTTCGTGTTCTAATTTAAACTTTGTAACTATGAAAAGATAATTATGTTTTGAGTAAGTGACTTTTTCCCCTTCTTGGAACTCTTTTCATATTTGTTCCTTTTGAAAGGGCACCCAGATAAAAAAAAGGTAGCTATTTCGAACTATAGTATTGATACCTTGTATACGAGTGTACATATGAGTATATGTACTTATGGTGTTACACATCCATGCTTAAGGAATGCAAGGCAGCTGAGTGTTTTCACTAAAGACTTGGGCTTATTGAATAAGATACTTATGATTCCACCATTCTACTAGCAAGAAGTCTCCTTAGCAAAACAGAATGTGATTAGATGGACAGCCAGAATCCTCTTAACAGCAGGTAAAATTCTAAGCTGCTAAACATATTCCATTAGCAGAGAAACTGCCTTGATTTTAGCCATTTAGCATCTTTTAGTTAAGTGCAACTGAGGTTCCAGTCATGTGAGTTGGAATTAGTCTCAGTCAGGGAGAATGTTTTAGCCAACTGCTCCCCTGCAAGTCACCAGCCAAAAGAGATTAATAAAAAAGGGATGACATGAAATCAGAAGTATATGATTAATGCCTGTGTATGTCTGTCTTTACCTTGAGCTCATCTGCATCATAGAAGTCTATGCGCACAGCAGGGACCATCCATGTCTGGAATAGAGTTGCCAGGATCTGTTTGGCAATTGCATCTGCGATGAGGTGAAAGTGGAGTGGGTTTCGCCTAATATGAGAAAGGAGAGAAAACCATTAGTTCAAGGGTTCCTAATTCCTGTTGTTAAAGGACAACATCAGAATGTACAAAACTTTATCTGTGTCTAAGATGTCAAGTTTAAAGTGTACAGCATGTTCAGTGGAGTCCTGCTTTGTGGCCAGAATGCCAAGACACAACTGAACACGTATGACAATAATAGAAATACTCATTCAGTTTCTGTGTGGTTGGCAGGAAGAAAGAAAACATTTCACTTCAAAACACCAGAATTGGGTTCACCTTGGTAGTTACAGGACTTGGGCTAATTGAAAAGCTTCAAAACAAGATGAGTGAAGCCAGTATCAGCAAGACTGGCACCATCTGCAGACTGTATGGATTTTTCTATAGTAATGTGAACTTGGACATTACAAATACCTTGTTTAAACCCCTTAACCTCACTCCCTCTTTGAGGGACCGTAAACAGTAAAATTTGATCTTAACTTCTGTGGTAGGAGTACAAAAACCTGTCAGTGGAAGTTAGCCATGAATTTGTAGTCTTCTATGCTTATCCTTAGCTTAGCAACTTTTCCTGTTAGCAGAGAAGGACAGAGTTTGCAAAAGCCACTAAGAAGACAGATGGTTTGTTTAGGCTTAAGCATTGGCTCAATCTTTCTTTGACCTCTAGGGTGTAATAGTGGTCTCTCATTTCTATGAAATTTATAAAGCTAAATGGGTGTACTTCTTAATTGATATTTTTCATCTAAAAAGATGTTTCAGATGTTGATTAAAGTGAAAGATGACTGATGCTACTATATTCTTCAGTGTGAACAAGAAGTGAGGAAATTTATGTTAGTTCAGGCCAATGTACTTCCATTACACTTTTGGGCTTAACCCAAAAGATGAAGATTATTTTTTCTCCATTTCCTACACTAATGAACAAGATGTGCCTTCCTCTTTAATGTTTCTCTTCTTTCTTTGATGAGTAATACTGCTTCCCACTGAACAAAGTCCACAAGAAAATGTAAAAATACATATAATGGTTCATAGAATCATAACAGACCTTTCAGCAGAAACAGGAGATTGTTGTGAGGAGCAACGTATGGTCGGATTTTGCAGTGTTAGAAATGCTGCACCTAAGATCCAACCCAACACCCAGCGTTGCCAGTGAAGCTGCTGTATTGGCTTCAAGGACACTGTGGATCACATTATGAGCTTACAGGAAAAGCAGAAAAGGGGTGGGTAGAAGCCTTATATATGAGATAATCATGATGGAAGAATAAACCCACAGCTGATCTGCATTTAACAATATCCAAAACAATAAGTTACAACATGCTCTCCAAAACCACAAAGGTCTTTCAATCTCCAACTTGCCCTGGAGGGAGGAGGGGAGAGGGAAAGGCATAAGCTGCCAGCTGCAGAGTGTCCCATTACCAAGCTTAAGGGATCACAGCAATTACATCTGCTTCACTAGCCCAGCAGGAGAGCAGAAGAGGACATCCTGGCTCATGCAGATTCCGCAGTAACCAGGCAACTTGCCAAGAAAAAAAATCGGGAAATAGCAGTGATCAGGAAATACATCTCATTAGCAGAGACAAGGCCAAGAGAAACAAAGTACAACACCAGCGGCCTTGCATACAGGCAAAGCAGTATCTCAAGACAAATAGATGTTGAATGTCAACATACATATCCCACATAGGTCCCTCTGCTTAGCAAGGGCTGAGTCTGGATTCTGGTAGGACTATTTCCCAGCTGGTGTTCTTCAGTAACTTCTTTTCCTTTTTTTTCCCCCCAGGGTTATTTATCCATATATTGCAAAGTAGAATAAGAAGAGTAAAAAATCAGTTCAAACCAAGATATCTCTGTCTTCCTTCAAACCCTCATTTAGTTAAATGGAATTGATATAAAATATCAAGATGAAACACGCTAGTTGAAAAGAAAAAATCTGACTCAAAGACACTCAGATGTTCAGTAGCAGTTTATACTTATCTGAATGACCCAGAGTGTATGAAACTTAAATGGGAACAAGTGGGTGACATTTTCTTTAGTTCGTCTCCTACTGGGAAAAAGAAAAAAGGAGTAGCTGAACTCCCACACAGAAATCTCTTTCAAGTTGTTAGCCTCGTGGTAAAGATTCAGCTGCAAGGAAAGTGTATGTCAGAGGAAAGGCAGAAGATTATCACTTACAAAAATATATCCCCAAAACAGTATAGTGACCTGATGACATCTACAACTAAATGTGCATCAGCCACAGAAAATTTTACTCCAGATGATCTTTTAGTTCTGTGAAATGTGAGGTTTAGCATGGTGCTAGAAGCCAACAGAGCACAGACTCAAAGCTGGAAGACCTTCTGAAGATAACAGTACTAGCATACACACAGATGACATCTTTTACCTCTTCTGGTGTCTGCAATATGCAAAGCCTAAAAGATATGGATTGCTTCAAAGGATTTATGAAACAAGTTTAAAAGCTTAAAGATTAAGCAACGTTGTAAAAGATACAGAAGATTCTGTAAGATGAAAAATCTTTCTCAAGAGATATGTGAAAGGGATGCCATAGTTATTTGCCAACATGATTGAATCACTGGCTCTAAGAATCATGGGTGACGATCAGGATATTGTGAAGGATTCCACTGAAAGCTGTACTTCATCAGACTTGTACATTTTGCTGTACCATTTGGTATCAGTGAAAGCTATTCCTTTCTTCAGACTGGTCTTCTTCCAGGACAGAGACATTTTGGGATATGAGCTTTACAAAACTGAAATGAAACTGTATTGCCCCTATGATCAGTTAAGGGATAGGCATGTAGACAGCTATCCTTCACAGGCATTTAGCAGCTACAGTCAAAAAAGATTGAGTATGACAGGGGAGATACTCAAGTCTTCTGAGATAGGCTTGAGAGTACCTCACCTGTATAACAAGGAAGGGTGACATGGCCTTTGAAGTTCAGTGAGCAGCTGAAGACACAGAAGTTTGCTACTGGAAATTGAGTGGCATGCAACTGAAAAAATATGATGCTGTGGTTAAAGAAAAACTCAACTCCCTTCTGCTGGGAAGGCAGATCAAGTTATGAAAAGGATTTTAATTCTGTGGTTTCCTGCAAAAGCAGAGACAAATCTATGGTTAATGAGACGGTCCAACAGGTTCTTTCCAATACCCTGAGCCTAAAGACTCCAGTGCAACCCACTTGTTGGGTTGAAGGGAACCTGGAATCAAGTCTTGGGAGAAAGTGATGACCAGCCACAGAATTTCTCACAAGGTCCATAAATACTTAATCTCATTTACCTCAAAGATTTTGAACATACGAATTTTACCAACTACAACTTTTCAGAGTTTCAGCTTCATGGAAAATGATGATGCATTAATGTCTTAATGTGGTAAAATGTAATTTCAAAATATGGGTATTTCCCACCAAGTGGAAAGCCTAGGTTTTAAGCACTCTATTTAGAAAAACTGCAAATCTTCATATATTAAATTATTTCCACTTGTCTTAAGATCAGAACACTATCTGACAAAGTAAACCACGTGTAAACAGCACACATTCATTTTCCTAAATTACTTTCCTCAAAAGTGAATGAATAGAGATTCTGGCCAAGATTTTCAAGCATGGATGCTTAAATATAGGCTCTTAGACTTAAATTTAGGAGCTTGAATGAATGCTCTCATTTTCAGAATTGCTGAGGTCCTACAAAGTTAGTAAAATGAAAAGATGTCAGTAATTTTAAAAGTCAGGCCATGAATTAAGGATCCTACTCCAAGGCACCCATTCCCCTCTACTTTTTTTAGCATGATATCTTATTTTTGCATTTCAAAACTTATTCCAAATCAGAGTTATGATCTGCTTGCTCAAGCATTTGTGGCCCCTTCTTTTCAAATAGCCACAGCCACTGAATTAAATACAAAAATCTACAATCAAAAAAGGGAGTAGGGAACCAAGACTCACTCTTCCCTTCTGTATGATTCCATAGCTCAGTTGTTAGTAATTTGAAAAGCAGCTACTTGGCTGCTTGGTTGCGCAGTTCTCTCTGCAACAGAGGAATTTTATTTTCTAAAAATAAAAAAAGGTCAGTAGCCCAGGGGGTTTATTTCCAAAACCTATACTTTATTAAGGGAAGCACAACAAGGTAATACCTTTCATATCTGTAACAAATGGTTACAAGAACTTCAAACAGAAATTATAAAAGGCAGCTTGGGAAATTTTTTTTCCTAATGCCCATATGACAATCCCTCTCTCATACATGGAGAATTTTAATGTGAAAATCATTAAGATTTTTTATACCCCTTCACATCCAGTATTGATTAAAATGGTCCCCAAACTATTGAAGTGATCTTAAATATGCACTTGCTACATCACTTATGGATCTTCTTGTTTAAAGAAGTTCTCTGGGAAGTAAAAAGAGATTTCATGGGCAGATTTTTTTTAAACATTGCTTTCTCCATTTTGCCTCTATTGTTAGGACAGCTAAAAAACACAAAAAGAAGTGTGCATATTGACGCATTTATATGGATCAGAGAAAGCAGGTCATGCTTTATAGTTTTTGCCAGAAGAATCTCCCACAAAATAGACTGACATGTTAGAAAAGTTGGAAACAATGACAGAGGTTTTAAATTCTCAAATTAATTCCATCAAGGTAAAGTGGTCTCCATGGAATATAGCCATTAGATTACATAAGCTTTAATTACCAGCCAGAGTTGACTTGTGACTCTTACTTGGAAATTACATGTTATCCATTTTATTTAATTTAGATTTCCACTTGGTTTGCCTTATTCTACTTGTTCTAAGAAAAAAAAAAGTTCATTATTCATACAGCAATCTGTAACATAGTATTATATTCTGATCTTAAAAATGTTTAGACATATGCTTAACTTCGAGGTTATAAACAGCCTTCTTAAAGGAAAGAGGCTACTTCATATTAAAAAGCTTTTGTCTAGTTGACTGGTTTTGTTTACGTATGTTACAAAATCCCCCCCCAGCCCCATTACTATGCCACTAGTGCTGTAGCATTGATGGAGGCACTGCTAAAGAAATAAGTGCACTGACTTCTCTGAAGAAGAGGGACTAAGACAGCAGGAAAAAAACAAACAAAAAGGCACAAAAAACCAAGCCAGTATTAGGCGGCACAAAAGAGAAGTTAATTTTTCACAGATTGTCAGGTTGACCCAACAGTCAGCAACATGTTGTAACTGTGTAATTTTGGTCTTTCTTTGTTCCCAATTGAAACACAGTGTTTAGCATGTCCTTGGAAAATAAAAGAGTGCATTAAAAACCATTTTACCTCTTACTCAAGATTTACCTGAGCAGAGAAAGAAATGATCTTTGCAATATGAAACATAATTGTGGGCTGTTTCTATGGCCCTCTAAGCTTTACAATTTTCAGAAATGGAGTAAAACACTGAAAGTCACCAATTAACTTGGATCAATAGTTGCAAAAGATTCAAGGATAGTTATCAGCCACAGGAAACTGCTTCAGTTTTAAAAAATAAACACAGGTGCCTTTTGTATACTACTATAAGCACTGTTTACAAAACTACTTGCATTTGATTTTGCCCATTTGACCCAATATATTTAGTTTTTAGTGTTTAGTCTTTTGGTTTGGGTAAACTAAAATTACGTTGCACTTAGCACACAGTGGTACAAGCTTGGCTTGTGTTAAGCTGGCTCAGAGATCATTTTTTTAGCCTGCAATGGATTTATAAAATCTGTCATAATTGGGAACTAGATGTGCAAGAAAGGAAAGCAGGAAAGTTGCAGACTAGGACTGAGTGCTCATTCTACAAGCCTCCCTCTGTGCAGCGTTGCCAATGCATATTTATCAGACTGCAAACCCTGCACTATCCCAGCTCAGATGAGTCTCCTCCCGAGAACAAACTGTCAGTTATGTCAAACTGGGTGTTAAAAGCTGCTGGGATTTTGTGGCTGGAGCATACGTTTTCTAAAGACAAAACTGGAATCAAGCTGCTTTACCACTGGGAATGAAACACATTTCTGAACTATGGTGTCCTTATGTGGAATCAACCACACTACCCCTTTCTCTCCTCTTCCCACTCTCTGGAACCAGAAGGCAGATATAGTTTCTCAAATGGTCTGAACAAGTAGCTTGCCTAACTCTCGTGATATATGGTATGACTACAATCAGAAACTTGCTTTTTTAGACCTGTGGGAAGCTGAAATGTTCAATATGCAGAATTTGCTGTACATTCATGCAAGAGAGAAGAGACAGCACACTCCATCTATAGAAACTCCTGTGGCTTTTATCCTTAATGACCCAGTACTCCTGCTGTTTTGTGTCTCTATCTAGCACTCTAGCTCAAAGTTGGGGGTATAACAAATATGTTAATACACCCTGGGAGTAGAATGACATGGCCTCCTTTTCTCAGAGCTTTCCTGATAGCAAAGTAGGAATTTCCTACAGAAGTAGGGTCTCATTTTGTATCAAAATGCACTGCTAAAACATGCTTTAATTACTAAACAAGACAGAAATGCTAAAAACATCACATGACATCGCATGAATTCCAGATAAATTCACTGAAATCAGTGCTCTTACAACAAACACCAAATGCAGGAGGACAGGTGAGGATATTAATCGTGGTTGGTCTGAGGGGTCACTTGTTTAACCAGTAGATTGTATTCAGGATATATTTAAGGAAAACCAAAATCTCTTTGACAATGTTTGGAGGCATGTTTGTTCTGTTCTTGAAAGACTATATTTGAGATTGAATGTGGTGATCCTACAAATGCAGGACCAGTAGCCTAACTTTAGAGACTAGGATAGCGAACTTCCTGTTAAGCAAACTTCTCCATTGGAAACATACAGTACTTTCAAATGTCTGCTTTGCTTCGCTTATTGGACAATGCCAGCTAGGATGCACTCCCTGGTGTACATTTAGGGGTTAGAAGAAGAGACATCTGCATGCCTGTTTTCACTGATGACCCTAAGTCAGATGGTAAAGTTGCGGCTGACATCACGAAGCATTCACTATCCACACCAACCACTTCCAACTCTCCTAACTCAGTTCTCCTAATGCAGTATCATGACCTGTCTCCATCCTTCATTTGTACAATTAAACAGATCCTAGCAACTACAAGAAGCTTTCTTTCCAATCATCATCATTTCTGAAGTGCATACTAATCTCCAAGATAACATTGTTTGCACGTGGCAACCAACGCAAGGAAACTTGGTTCTAAATCAATGTTCAGCTGAGTTTGTTGCTTTTTTGTTGTTTATTCTCCATCCATCCTCACAATTGCCACTCCAAAGATAAAGATCCAAGAAAGAACTGCTACTGAAGCATGGCCATGTAGACATAGCATCAACTGATGCTTAAGAAGCCCGTGTTTTCTAGAAGATAAGAAGAATTGCCTGTAAGAAGCTCTGTCTCTTTTTTGAGAAAGTATTCTTTTTCTAGCAAACAATTTAATGCCTAGTGAGAAAAGCTAGTTCTAGGCAGGAATGGACTTAGATTTGTCTTTAAGTATGTCTTGAGCAAACAAGGGAGATAGGTTATCTTGAATGTAACTAACTGTACTAAAGCTTCATTAGCTACATTGGACTTTATCTTGATCACCTCTGTCGAGCTAGACAAATCCTTTGAGATGAGTAGTAGTACTAACCAGACAACAAATATGCTCTTGATAAGGGTAGAATCCAGACTTAGAAATACCAATGCTAATTCCCTTTGTTTTGGTTTCATATTTTAATCAACTATTAATTAATAATTTAATTATATAGGAGAATTTTTTATAAATTTGCTAATTGCTCAGATGAGTTGCTTAAGTAAAACAGGGACATTTTCTTTAAGAAACACAGAGAGAAGCAGTTGAGCTGTGAGATTCCTATTATTTACAGAACATTTGGAAACATACTGATTAAAGTCTTCTCAAAATGGATGTAAGTACTAGGAGAGAAAAACAAGGAGAAACTAACCACTGGGATAACTTGTGTCACCACAAAAATATGATTTTCCATGAAATCACTTAGAAACAACAATCAAAATAGACAAAACCTCCCCACATCCTTGCAATATAAAGTCAGTTTACACTGAATAATTCAAACCTCTAATTGGAAATAGATACAGTTTTAAAATATAACAGAATTTTAACATTGAGAAAAATGGTCCACAGAAAACTACACAGATTTTTACTGTTGTTTTGCTTTTGTTATGTCTATTTTAGCACTGATTTTCTGCTTCTAGCCCGCATCTGACATGAATATGCTAAATCTCAAAAGACTTGCAAAGGCTATGTGTTCATAGTGGAAGTTGCTCTCATATTTTGGAGATTAAATAGTATTTACCGAGTCTTCTTCCGTATTGGATAAGGTGAGAATTTATATTATTTTACGAAACTTACCACAAATGGTATAAAACAGTGTACTAAAACCATTGTAAAGGAGTGATTACTAAGACTTCCAGCAGAAGACTGGAGGCAAATATAAGGAGCAAAATGTGGGGCTGGAATGCCCCATTCATACTAGCAGTAAGATATCAGTACATGGCATGAACAAGAGTCATCCCCCTGGCATAAAATTATCTTTCAAATAAAGCAGCATATTGAAACTACCTCCTGTTCATACTGTAAGCATATTTTATTAGTCTAGTTGTCCTGTTTGAGTCAAACAGTCTGATCACTTCCCTATTTCAATCCACTTTCTGCAACATTACTGGAAAACATCTCTGAGAGACATTTCTAAACTGGACAAGGGATATACACAGTTTAATGGGAATTCTTTTTTTCTAGAGCTGCTGTCTATTAAGGGTTGTCTTCATTGTGCATTTATGCCCCTCAATTTTGGGATCTAACTGTGCTCCATGTGCTAAAACCAGGTTGCAAAAACTTCTGAGCGGCTGCAAGTAGCTGTTCTAAAGTCAGAATAAGCAATCTGACTTTAATGAAATAGTATATACTGACTGTAATAACAAGTTTACTTCAAAAACAAATCTCTAAATTGAAAGCTGGGATAGTCAAGTAACCAGTGTGAATTTATCATTTACACCTGCGCCACAAACCGATCCCAGAAATAGGCTAAATGAATACAATGCTGTTATTACTGTTATTATTATGTTACAGCATTCAGGACTGTGCAGATGCTTTACAGTAAAGATAGATACTGTCTCTAAACACACAATGCAACAGAGTAGCAGGTGGATCTCTGATCACTCTAATTCACTGTAGAAATCTTCACACAGGTGAATATTATTTGTGGTGATCACAAATTTCACACTTCATTCCTTCCAAAGAAAAAGCAATCAGGGAAGGGAATCCGAATAAAAAGAGCTTACTTAGCCGTAATCAGATATACAATATACAAGAAAACTACCTTTACCTGTGAAATAAGACAGACTTGACAAGTGTGACAACATCCCGACTGGCATTGTACCCTGCACAAACAATGGCAACGTGGATAGTCTGTGGGAGAAAAGGAACAAAAAGAACAAAAATGAAAGTCTGCTCCTGTGTTCTGTCATTTACTAAGGAGAGCACATACATGACAGTGCTATTATTCAGTGCAGCGATTGTTAAAGATTTGAGTGGGTGTTTTGCAGCTGTTTGCAGCCCACTTGAGGCAGTTTGTTAAAAACATCTTAATTGATTTTAACACCATCATCATTCCAAAGTCATTACTACCCCTAAATTACATCATATGTTTGAACAGAATTGCATTTGTTAGCTAAGAGCATCTGTGTGTAAGTATGTACGTGCCCTCCCCAAGTAAGCAGCACACACAATTCTGAGTATGCAAACATGCAGACATTTTTAATCTTCCCAACTAAAGTTTAAAAGTATGCCTGATAATTAGAAGCAGATATGCTCTTAGAAATTTCTTCCTTATGCACAGCCACTAAGGACAGGGTGAGCAAGCTCTCGTGGATGAGCATGACTAGGACAATTGGTTTGCCAGGGCTGGATGCATCCCAGTGATATGATGGGACACAAGCTGTGAAGACAGGTAGCCACCTCCTTGACTGTGACTACCAGTATGGTCTGCACTGGCAGTGTTAATATGATGTTAAATGCAACCCCCACAAACACATTCTCTCCACCTCATGACACTGGTAAATTATCACTTATTCTGTGCCTTCTTACCTCCCTTTTAGCATGAGGCAGAGGTTTCCTCATCTCTTCAGGAGGAAAGGGAAAATTGAAAAGGGGCTACGAATCATTATTATTTATGCAGTAAGTACTAGTCTGAAAAATGTGTTACATTACTCTGCTCTGGTTTTAAAATAAGCCATTTTTATTCCCTAAGGACAAAAGAAAATTAACCCTAGCAACTTCTGACTCCAAGTTCTGCAATACTCAGTTTCTTAGTGGTCACAGAAATGAAGGAGAGTTCACCACGCTGGCAGCACAAAGCTGCCATTGGGGACACAGCTGTGAAACTGCAGGGAAGCCTCATTTGGCTTCCATTTGAAGCTTGGTTAGCTGGTTTCTCACGCACACATCTCTCATTTTCCACAGAGTGCTCACTATGCTGAGAACAAATGAGGAATTCTGTCTCTTCACACAGCCATAGGTTCCCAAAGCCTGGCTTATAACAGAAGCAGATTTACACAAGAGGTGGCATGTGCTGGGCACATCTAAAGAGTCCACAGCCCCATCCATTAACATTACCTGTTATAGGGCACAATTTGAATCATAAAACTGCCTAGTGGCTGTGCCATTGTGGAACAACAACATGAACATTGCAGCTGCCTGCAGCCCTAGAGTGTGTTTCACAAGCTGTGGCACATTTAGGATCTGAGATTTTAAGAGGACTTGAATTAATAAGACAACTGTCTGTCCAGAGAGGTGTGAGAAAGAAAAGATATTGCAGTATATTTTGGCAGCAGCTCTGTGAGGTACTAGTGCTTTAAATTTATGTTAAAGTCAATGGGAGTTGAGCATGCTCAACACTTTGCAAAAACTGACTGTGGTTCTCTCTTGTGATAGGGGAGAACAGAGGCTGCTTATTAATGACTTTTATTGCAGCAGGAGTTTGTACTGTACTCATGAGCATGGGTTCCTATGGGTGTACTCATTCCTGATACTGCACACACTGTCTCCTCTCTGCCACCTGGTCCTTCTCAGGCTTTTGGAAGACCTAAGGTCCTTCCCTTCAATACCAGTTAAAATCAAATTAATTGAGAATCATGCCTGCTTTAAACATTTCACCTGAAGACACTGGACCAACACAAACATTTTAGGGGGGTTGACAGAATAACAGCACTGTCATATCACTGTCAACATCATTTTATACTACCTCTACTTGCCAGAAACACTCTCCTTACAGTCTCTCTCTCCACCTTACAACACCCCTAAAAATCAATTTATTCTGTCAAGGACTTTCCCACATCTGTACTCCTTTACTAAATCAGTTTGTTTCAGAATTGAAAGCATTCTTTCCTCACTGTCATCTAGTAGTTGCTGTTGCCTTGGATGCTGTTTCAGCCAGGGCACAGTACATGCTACTCTTCTGAATGTTCTTTTCCAGTTCAGAGACACAGGCATCCATGTACCTTCTGCTCAGCCTCTCTGTAGTGTTTGATATCACATATCACTTCTACTCCTGCCTGCAATCAGTTATACAAAAGAGCCATAATCCTCAAAGAGAACAGAAATCTAGACCTTTTTTTCCCAAGTTTCTGCCTGCAGCATGCTGCAAGACTCAGTCTGTTCCTTTCCTTTCCCTGATTCACTTTCCTCTCCTTCATTGTCTAACTGTTAAATAAAGTCAGTGGGAAAACAGATAAGCCAAAATGAAGTCATCAACCTGAACTGTCTGCAGATGCTTCTATCCTAAGGGAAAAAAAAAATATTTCCAGTTTTCTCCATGTTTGTTCCAAACGCACATTTGGATAGCAAGCAGCTGGCTGTAGCCAAATTCTAGCAAGATAGGACAACAGTAGCTGGAAGAAGGAAGCACCTCAAAGAATTTGCATCCTCCTGAGTATACTACTGTAAGCATCAGCTCCCAGACTTCAAAAAAGTTCTCTCTCAAAGTCCTCTTTTCCATCTGCAGATGGCTAGAAGATTGTATCTCCCATCCTACCAGAACTGGCCACTGTGATTTACACAACCTCTGGACTCAATACTGCAGCCAACACCTAGGAGTGAGGCCACATAAGCAAAGAATGCTCCAACTGCCACAAAGTGCATCAGCCTACCTTACTGGCTCAACATGGCCCATCAAACCTCTCACACGAAGGCTCTGCATGCTCCTTACTGATGACAACATTACATGATAATTCTAGATAATTCTAGTCACATTCTAGCCGGGATATTCAGAAGTCAATGTGGGTCTAAAGTGAACTCCTTTGAAATGTTCATTCTCCTACAATGCCCACTTTAAAGTGAATGATAGACATGTTCACCACTTGTTTCAAGAAGTCTGGATTCAGGCCATTCACTGGAGATGCTTTTGGATAATGTAACTCACTGCATCAACAGATGAAATGATGATACATCTTGCCTTCCAGACTCAATCAATTCTTACTCTGTTTATACATATAGATATGAGTAGGTAATCAAAACACTGTGGAAGTTCTTCACACAATTCTCCCTACGGGTTGAGGATCAGGGACACAAACAGAACTATTTTTAATTGTAAATAGTTTAGGGAGCACTCAGGTTCAAGTACTTAAGAAAGTACTTGGCACTTAAAGAAGTTAAGCTTTTTTAGGAAAACGAATTTAAGTCATACGAAGCTGCATGCTAACATAGTTTAGAAATCCTTCAGCCACTATAGACCAGGAAAATCTGCTTCTGAATGCAGTATTTCATGTAAGGCTATTCTGGGATAACAGTAATGGGAAGAAGATACCCAAAACCACATGAAGAACTGGGCCTTAGATCCCCTATTGATGAGGAGTATATGATGCCTAGACAAACAGATGCTATTTTTTTCCTCCTTGGGCTACTTTTGGAATTACGAAATAATGAGTTTTACAAACTGTAATTAGTTCCTATAGCTAAAAATAATCTTTGGTAAAACATTTCATACTTCAATAACTTTCCAGTAGTGATAGCTAGGCCTTCAAAAGTAGATATTTAATCCTTCATAAATAATTGTTGAATGTGATTAAGAGATATTAAAAGTATGTTACAAAATGCTTGTATTTGTAGCATATTTGTAAATATACTACAAAGAGTTTTCAGAAGCAGGTAACATCTACTTTTCCTGTGTTACACTGTTTAAGTTGGTGAGGGCCTGTTTTTGGTGGCTGTGGAGCACTACACACTTAACCCTATTGAACAACGCTGCTGAGAACAGTAACAATAAAAATTTGCCTGTAAAAATGCTTCCAATGTGAAGTATTTTGCTAATCCACTAAATGCTATACTACTAATTACCAATTTCCTAGTATAAAATCACTTTTTAAAATATTTATAATTGCACACTTAATTCCAAGTACATGCTCCATAATGGGGGCACAAGCTGGAAAGATACTGTGATAACATAGTAAGGAAGAGGCATATAACTGTGTTAGCTTCTGTTGGCATTATGCTCTCCTTCTGAAGCCTGTTGTGTGTGCTGACATCTGTGTAAGGACTACTTGTACTTTTATTTTCAAGGTTTGTGTTGAAATTGTCTACAACTGGGAAGGCATGACAAGCTTCTGCTCCCTCCAGGGAGAAGTCCCTTGGCTGGGACTCTGATCTTTTCTTGTAGTGTAATGATAGTCCGTTTTACAATATCAGAAGAGCTCTCCTGTGATGCAACAGAGTAGGAAGCTGTGGCTGGAATGCAACAAACCCACAGCTATTTGATATAGATCACAATTATTATCATACAGATTATGCTTTATCAGAGATTTAATGTTCATTCATTGTAACTGCATTTTCAAATGTTTTAATCATCATTAAAGACCATCTCAAATTAGATTCTGAAATGTTATCTTTAGTAAACCTCTAAGAGCAGACTCAATGAAATGAGTCTTAGCTCTCTTAGTCTTCCACAGAGCCCCAGTCTTCTTCTCAAGAACCCTGGTTCTTTACTACCCAAGTTGCTGACTCTTGCTGTGATATATTCCAGGGTCAGAAACTAAAAAAGATTTAGTCTGCACATCTGAAACACTGAAAACAGAGAGTGATTGGAGTCAAGAAATCCCTCACACAAACACAGAACAATATCATCTACAATAATAGGATAAATGATGAGACCCTTGGCAAATCTGATAATAAGGAAGTTTAATTTTAACTTCCATTGCTGTTACTGAATTACCGAGTGAATTCCCTGGGAAAAAGACTAAAAAGCTATTTTGCTATCAAAATAGCGTGCAGTGAGATAGGGGGATGGCAAATAATGTCAGATTTTGTATTTTATATAACCATTGCCTCCAGCGCAATGCTAAACCCCACTGAGCAAGTAAACTTATTGGCAAAACACATTATGAACTGCAAGGCCATTTAAACTATTCCTACTTTAAGCTGCTATTTTCATGTTCCAAATTGGTTGGTACATTGAACAACTGAACTGAGATTCAACTCATCACTCCCTGGCATAATAATAGGGGAGAAGTGAGGTTTGCTTATTGATGGCCTGAGCCTTCCCTGATTAAAAGAATTGCCAAAATGCTCTCAGTGAGGAAAATCAGACCCTCATTATCTGAAGGAGAGAAAATGAAAAACAAACCCCTCTTTTTCCCTCTCCTCACAATAATGTTGCTTCCTTTTTTCCACACTGAAGGACAAAGATAACCAACTGGGAAGCAGTAACTAATTCATAAGCTGTATTTGATATTTTTCCATTGAATAGAATTTATCTCAAAAGATAATTAGGACTTCTTTTTCCTCTCCCATTAATTGTCTTTCAACTTTTATCTTTGAGTGGCAAAAAGCAAGATAAAAGGTGATAAGGTATTGCCTTCTTTGTAGAAATAAATGGAGGAAGCTACTTTTGATACCTTCATCAGCTGAGATTGGCACAAGGCCTTTAAGCAAGACTTTCTGTTTGGTATCTATCCATATTTGGACCTGTCACCATTCAGACATCTCACAACTAAATATCTGGATGACATCCACAAAACTACTGGCATAAAATGGGGAAAACCAAACCAAAAAAAAGCCCACTCCAAAACCTTCTTAGGAGATCTCCTGTTCCCTGCAGCCAATCACACTGTGCACAGCTCATGCAAAGCAGGTGGTCTCACAGTAACACCCAGATACGCTCCTGAAAGTGAGTCAAAAGCACAGGCTGGCTCCATAAGCCACAATTTAATTAATTGTAAACCCCGAACTGTTCCAGTACAGAGACACAAACAAAGGAATAAGGTTTTTCTAAGCACCGTGGAGCTTTCATTTAACTTAAAAACACATGGGGTCAGTTTGCCACAGGTCTTTATCAGTGCAGCTTTACAGACTGGAACAAGGCTTTGATTTTTATACCAGGTTTGGGGACACAAGAATGAAAATGACAAAAAACTGGGATGAAATAATAATTCAGAAGATATTCCCATGATTAAATGTTTTAAAGTTTAAAAGAAAAAGAATAACAAAAATTATCTAAAACGTTGCAGTCAGTAAATCTTTAAGAGGCTGGTTTCCGCGAATAAAGTTTCAGGGTGAAGGAGATGGAGATCTGCAGTGTCCTTAACAGATTATATCTATCAAGATTTGTTTCTGGCAAGTTCCTTCTGTTTATTTACCTCACACTTTTCCACTGCTGGTTGCTGCCCACACTCAGAGCTGTTCCCTGCCACAATGCCAGCCCGCAGGCTCTCGCTGTCACCTGTCCCCTCTTCCATGGAGTAGGTTTTGGAGTGATTGCCATGGTGGTGAGAGGGGCTGCGACTCTGTGCCAGGCTGAGCTGCTTGCGCAGCACGCGGTTCTCCTCCTCCACCTCCCGCATGCGGACTTCCAAGCTCTCGCGCTCCCGCTGGCTCGACGCTGTGTACCGAGGACTGTGGGGCTGGGATTCAAGTGGAGACAGCGACACTGGCTTCCCATCTGCAAGAGAAGGAAACAAACCCCTTCTGTCAGAATACACTTGAAGTTGCGTTTTCCTTTTATGCCGGCGTCGTGAGGCAGGGATGTCACTTGTCACTTCAAGGCAATGCTTAAGTGAGTGGTAAACTTGGACAAATGCTAAAGCTCTATGAGCTACAGGTCCTACTAATTTTAAAACCACAGTAAAAGATAAGCATGTGTTTCATTTGTTCTGCATAGGGCTGCCTGCCAGTCTCTAGTCTGGGAAGACAGTCAAGAACATGAGGATTTAATTCAAAGACAATTAATATACAGTTAAATATATTTTAGAAATGTATGCAAGATGAAATAATTTTCCTATTCCCCATTTCCTCCACAGTCAAATGACAGAATTTTGGCAACCATTTTCTGCCAAACAGCAGCCCCAGCTGATTCACATGTGAGGAGCAGATGGGTTTTATTCAGCAACATGGTATTATGTGCTTGTTGAGAAATAAGAGGTTCAGAAGGACAGAAATGTTGAATACACATGTGGGTCAAATTCTGGAAAGAATTTTGGCTGAAAAAGACACAAGGGAATTTTGAAAAAAGTAAAATGGTTCAATTCAACACCTTCAATTAAAAAGCTGTAATCCAGAAATATGAAATTGGTGTTTTCTTTATTCAAATAAGCATTGAAAATGAGCTAAAGTATAATAAAGAGAAGGTATCTGAAACTAGGGTCCATAAATAAAGCAATACATTCTACCATCACTTCGCAGTACATTTCTGCTACCAAATTTCAAAAGAGCAAATAGGGATGCAGCTGATGTGTTCTCATATAACTTTAATAAAGATATAACTACCTACACACAGAGTACAAATGTTTGAAAATGTGTAGAAAACTCTCACGCTAAATCACTGTTCAGAAATGTTCGATTGAAATAAAATTGAAACAAAAGACAATGAGAGTTATCCACAGTGTCATAATTAGCAAGATGTTCCTTTTCAGTGAAGATATGTGAGTATCTTATAATAAGGTATTTCTCTGATACAACTTTCTACTTGCACATATTAAATAATAGAATCGTGGAACTGTTAAGGTTGGAAAAGCTTTCTAAGAGTATTGAGTCCAACTCTCAACCCAGCATCATGTGCCACATCCACATGTTTCCAGGGATTGTGATTTCACCACTTCCCTGGACTGCCTATTCCAACATCTGACCACCTTTTCCACTAAGTCATTTTTCCAAGTATCCAATCTAAATCTCCCATGGCACAACTTAAGCCATTTCATGTCATTGTTACCTGAGAAAAAAGACTGACCCCCAACTGGCTACAACCTCCTTTTAGGTTGTTGTAGAGAACAATAAGGTCTCCCCTGAGCCTCCATTTCTCCATGCTAAACAACTCCAGTTCCCTCAGCTGTTCCTCATAGGACTTGTGCTCTAGACCCTTCACCAGCTTTGTTGCTCCTCTCTGGACTCGCTCCAACACCTCAGTGCCCAGAAATGAACACAGGATTCAAGGTGTGGCCTCACCAGGGCCGAGTACAGGGGAGTGTTTGCTATTTAATAGTTTTTCCAATGCAGAATCTCTTTGGTTTTATCAAGTGAACACCAGCTTGAGTGGTTTACAAGATGGAAATCATGCAGTTATTGTTTAGAAGTTCCTCCTAACGAGTACATTTCTCACCTGCCAAGTCCAAACTATCTCCCTGCTATAAAGACCTACTCATTGCTTGTTCTCTTCTATTATTTCACATTTACATGAACAGTGAGCAGTCCTCTAAACTGAGTTCATGAAAAGAAAAATGGTTATAGAAATCAAAATCTCAATTCTAATTTACATTGCAGAATTATACAGGTATACACGCTTCCTCTTATGTATATAAATCACCATCCTGGTTTTTATACGTAATTTGGATAGAATATCTTGCATTTTCTAGCAGACAGTCTCCTGCAAAATTTTTCTAATTTATTATTTTTACCATTAGCAAAGCTTATGGATAAATCTGAGCTTGAAAAGTGTCTCAAGACAGATTCTGAAGTTTGACCACTGTTTTTGAAATCTGAATGCTCCAGCAAATAATTATTAAAAATTAAATGAGATATTTGAAAAGCCTGAAAATAATAGGTGCAACAAGAGAGAAATGTCAACATAAAGGACAGAGCCATGCTACAATTAGACATGCAATAGAATACTGAGTTATCTTTCTCCATCCAGCTTGGAAGGCATGGAACTGAAGTTGGAAGACTAAAACTCATTTGGGTGTGATTACATTGCATTCCTATTAGTGGACAGCAAGAGTGTATTGTGTAGACACTCTCAGATAAAAACAGCACCTCTACTCACCCATACAACAACTAATGTGTTATCATCAGATACACTATTATAATGTAAATGTAGCCAAAGACTTCACTGGCAATCATAACTCCCCCTCAGTGAATATCCAGAGTGGCACAGATGTTCCTTATCTCTTCCTATCCTTGCCACTGAATTCTGCTTCCTTCTCAAATAATTACCACAGAAGGTAGCAAGGCATGGAAGTAAATCTCTGGATGACATTCATCAAGTTTTCAAAGCATGGAAAAAATTTAAACGTCTCTTTAGCTATTCTACAGACATAAATCAATAGGTCACAAATGTTACTTTGCCAAAATTAAAACTTTATACGTTTTCTGTCTTTTAAAAAGGATACAATTTTGTACATCTGAACAACTGCGGGTATATTTATCAGGAAAGCCGAACTGTTTATAGACAATATTTAGAAGAAACAGCATAGTCTGAGAAAGGAACTGAAAGAAAGTATTACCTCACTACCTCAGACTGGAAGTTGCAGCAGTTAATGAGACCAGCTCAGTGTTTATGCAGCCTTAGCTTTAAATGCCAGTAAACTCCAGTACTGTTTTCTCAGTAGTAAATATTTCTGCCAGTATGTAAAAGGCAGTAAGGAAATCCTGTCAGGAATTGAACAACTAGTTAACTTCTTGATTTGAAATATACAACTAGTTGAAATGTATTGATTTGTTATAGAAATTATCCATGTTACAAGGTGCTAAATCCAAGATATTTTCTGGAATGATCTCTTCAGGCTTCATACAGTTGGACAAGTAATGTTTTGTTAGTAACATTGTTCACTATTCTCACGTGTATCTTGATGTATTTGGTATATTCCTACATCCCAATTCTGTGCTGCAAATAATAATGTGACAGTTCCAGGACCCATCTGAAAGAACATTATAAAACCAAAGGTAAACAGAGTTTGATCTTAAGACTCATAAATACAATTTTTTTTTTTTCATAAATTCTGAGATTGTGTAACTCAAAATTTTTGTACATCTGAGGCTGGCAAGGCTGGGGGCAACATACTATTTGATTTAGTTCTCTTACCATACTGGACATGTAAAGATATTTTTACTTCAGTGAATATACAGACAGGGCAAAATGCCTCTTGGGATCTATTGTCTAGTAGGTAAACAGCAACACATGCTACCCTGGTTTTCTTCCTACCAGTTTCCAAGGTAATGCAAAGACTGTTGTGTTTCATCCCATCTTTGAAGAAGGAATAAGTGGGCTAATGTTAGGGACCACTCATATTTGATGGACTCTGGTAGAAGAGTTAAACTGATTACACTGTACTTGAATTTTATAGTTTACAGTAACTGGCAGACTGTTCTGAGCTGATGTCTAGACACTTTTTATCTCATCTAAATCAAAATAAAATAGCACAACACATAATGAGGTCTGTGCGACTTTGGGACTCAAGATTTCCCATGGAACACTATAAGGAACATTGCTCTGCTCTGAAGCAAGTAGTTCACTTTTGAATGGTGCAATAAATAATAATAAAGCTATTATTTTTCATTCTTTATTTGGGTTACAGCTCTATTTTTGGACCTTGGCAGTTTCAGATTTTTTTTCTGTGTCAAGCCTTTTACTTCAGATTTTTTGTGCTAATACAACTGCACCTAAAAAGACCTACAAAATTCCACTGTCCACAGAACAAAACCCAAACACAAACCTGAACAATTATTTCATGGTTGACAGCAATCAGTAACTTATCATCACACTAGGTTCAACAATTCAGAAAACTTGACAATACGTAAATTATGAATTATATGGATTATTGAATGCTTCTCTATATAAGGAGTCACCTGCATTTCAGGCAACAGATTGTATTAACACTTACTTAAGCAGAGTGTCTTAGGACACTGGATGAATTAAAGCCTTCAGAAAGCAATCCAGCATAGTTTATTTGAAAGGATAGAGACTGAAGCAATGGAATTTTCTTTCTTGCATACAAAACCTAAAGGATAAGCATTATAAGCAAGTTTCTTTTTTTCTAGTTATCAAACTGGAGAGGTGATAGTCCTGAAAAGGACCCACTGGCATTGGAAGCTTGCTGGGGAAAAAGCCACAGAGAAAACAGAGCTTATCCAAAGGTTAACTGGATAAGGAGGAAAGAAGCATAGGAAAGAAAAATTTGCTCTGATTCAGAGAAGAATAGTGCAGAAGAAGGAATCCTGAGTTTCTCACATGAATCTGAACTAAAATGCTTAAAATTGTGTAGGAAATATTTGAGACACATAGATTTATGTAGCATACTTTGAGTGGGTTTTTTTAAATTTTTTGCATTTTTTATGCTATCAAGCCAAACTACTTGGTTTTTTGCCATCTTTACAAGGTCTAGAGGTTTTCTCTGTGTTTTAGCTATTATTCATCCCCTGCTTAATAGTGTGTAATGCTTTTATAATGAATTAAGTCATGGCAGTGAACTCTAGGCTGCCTCTTAGACAAGAGGAAGTTATGCTGCCCACAGACAGTGTTTCAGTCTGTCTGACTAGAGATACAAGAAAATGCCATTCCTTCATTTCACATTTGTTCACATTTGAGAATTCACATTATCTGTGCACACTTTGAGGACTAACAGTGTAACAATTTTAACCAAAAGTCAGTATTTTACAGAAAGAAGTGAGGTAGCAGGCAACCACTCTCATGATTTCCCCCCCGTTAAGGCCATGAGCCTGGTGTAAGCAGAT